ATAGTATTAATGGGAATTTCGTAAATATTTTATATTAAATCAATATCAATTAAAAAATCATAAGCATAAATATGATAAAAGTTTAATTAACTCGGCACATTCCACATAAAAACAATTTACATTAATAAACACATCAACTGCTTTCCATTAAAATTTCTGTAAATCAAACAATTTCTATTCTCTGCCAACTGAACCAACAACAACTGACTTAATTACACACTCCAATTCAACTTCGCCAAAAAATATTCCGTTTCATTCAAGCATTTGAATTATTCAAGCGATGCAAAGACCGCATAAATACAATAAAATATATTTGGATTTCGATTCGGATCAGCTCAGCATTCATACGCCCCGTTGCACACGGCAATGTGCGGGGGCGGGGCGGGGGCATCAACGGCTGCAAACTAATCGAATAGCCAAGCCGATACAGCCAACAAAAATAAAATAATACAAAAAATATATATATTTATATATATATATATTCCCTTGGGCCAATTGATTTTTTTCATTCAATTTTTTTTTTTTTTACTTCGTTTTTCTTTTTTCTCGCAGCAAGAAGTTGGAGTTTCTAAAATAGAAATTAGCAAACCCTTTAGCTTGGCTTTTCACTTGGCTCTTTGTGTTGACAATTGGCAACGTTTTAGTTAAATTCACTCAGTTTATATGTTTGTATATATGTTAATATATATTATATTATATTATGTATAATTTGTGTGTGCGTGTATGCGTTTGTGTATTGGTTTGGTATATTTGCTTTGCGCGACGACGCGACGTTAGCAACAGCAGGAAAAAAACGCGAAGCTTTTTTTGCTTTTTTCTTTATGCGGCCCGTGTTATTCTTTCCGTACGGCACTTCCAGACAGGCGAACAGTTACGGCGCGAGTGTTGCGACAGGACGACGAATGCCGACGCAGTCCAAAACTTTTGCTAGGGATATTTTCGCACACACACACACACGGATGGAGAGAAGGTCTATGTGTGTGTGTATGTGTGGGTCTGCCCGCTGTTCAATGTCAGGTGACGCAGGCAACGGCAGCAACAACAACAGCAATAACAGCACCGGACGCCTTTTAAAGTTCTGCTCCTGCACTTGCGCTCAATTTCACTTCCTTTGAAACTTTGGCTGCCGCCCGCCTAGTAAAAGCCAAACGCCGGCGCAGCATTGCCAGCCATTGAGCGCACTCAAAAGCTTAGCTGGCAATGCTGCCAGCCTGCCAGCCAGCCAGCCAGCCAGCCAGCGCTCAGCTGTTTTTTCCTTTTTGTGTTATTTCACAGTCACCGCTATTGACAAGGGAAATTTTCTCTCTTAGCTATCTCGCTCTGACGTGAGGGCATCTTGTATATCGACCTTATGTGTTTCAAAGCTTGTACGCCTGGATAAAGTTTGTTGCGCGCGTGTGTGTGTGTGTGTATGTGTGTGCATGTGGGCAGCGTTGCCATATTGCAGGCGCATAAATTATAACGACAGGCATTGAGATAAAGCGAAAAGCGACTGAGAGAGAGAGAGAGAGAGAGAGCGCCCGTGTACCAGAGAGGGCAGACGCTTCATTGTTAGCCGGAGATGAAACCGGAAGGTAGAATACAAAACACAAGGCAACCAAAACAACGACTTATAAAAACGCTAGCCTCACACACACACACACATGGCCATTTACTAATCAACACACAGCAGCAACAGCAACAACAACAACTGTAGCAATAACAATAACTACAAAAACAAACATGCAAAGGTAGCAAAACATCAACAGTCGCGTCGTGTAATGCTTTTAAGGCGCTTGCATGAGTTTGTACATGTATGTATATGCATGTACATGTGTATGCCACTGTGCGTGTGTGTTTGTAGTAGTAGTAGTAGCATAATATGTTGGCACACAGACTGGAGCCGGAGAGAAAACCGCAGAGAAAATGCTTTTAATACATTTTAAGCCGCATTTTTTCACACGTGGCTACAAAACAACAACAACCTCAACAACAACAACTACAACAAATCCTGGAAATATACATAGATAGAAATATGTAGAGGACAACCAGGAAGCCGGAATGCTGTTTCTGCTGCTAAAAAAAAAGCACCTAAAACATTTCAAACTTTGTTGAGTGTTTCGCGGTGGCGAAATTATATCTGCTAGTTTTTTGTTTCCTCCTTTTCTTTCTTTATGCCTGAGCTGAACTCAGTTTTTTGCCATTTGCAGCAACCCAAAAAGAGAATATAGAGAAAAAACGACCACAAAGCAAACACCGGCCGTAATAGCACGATAAACTTTCGAAACATGAATTAGAATTTGAGCATACCAAACGGTATCTCTATAAACCCCAACTTCTATTCATAAATCAAATATAGATAACGGTTAAGTGATAAGCAAACATTGAACTTTTCGGCTAG